AACTTCTCAAAATATTCAATAAACGGGTTTCAATTCATTTCTCTGTTGCGATTTTTTTGTTATAATTAATACTAACTCTTTGGGCATCTTGCTTTATGATAAGTATTGAAAATTAATATTATTATGAAACAAAGTGTCCATCCCGGATATGATAAACTAAAAAACCGGTTCACTGTATTTCTAAATTTTTAATAAATACTAATATGCGAAATCTTGAATTTTTACACATACATTTAAATATTAAAGTTTTCACGTGTTAAATATCATACTACTGGTGAGTTTTGACCAAACAAATCCAACTATGACGTAATTAACAGGTGTCTATACCGAGAATTAATCAACTTAATGGAGTTCAAAAAATATTTAACTTCGACACAACTTTGACAATACGTAGGTGTACAAGAGAGTCAAAAAGTGTTTTGTTAATTAATTGCATTCAAATTCTATTTACACTTTTCGGCAATACTCAGAACAGCCAATTACTGATTTACCAGAAAATAAATCGTTTATATGACATCAAATGAAGTATTATAAATAAATCATAAAGACAAATTCGTATATGATTACTAATTTTTAATGATACTTTAGTTGGGATGTTACAAGTTGTTCTAAATGTAAAATATACTCAAAACATAAGAATAACTCTAGTTGGCTCGTGTTTAATTTTGTTTATATATGCTCTATGCTCATGATTATATCCTAATATAATAATATAAATAATGAAACAAAATGTCTACTTCACTTTCCTCATAATCGCGTGTTGTTCAATAAACATCTCACATAAGTGGGATTTTTCAGCTTTTTAGAATGGGTTTTGTACTACCAAAAGCAAAGAAAAATGAAACTTGTTTTTATTTAATACAAAACATTGTCCTTCTATAGTTGCTTTTGTTTCCTATTGTCGCCCCTTTGTCGAAAATGCGCCTTGAAGGAACCTTGGTACGATAGTTACGAAATATCATTCTCAGCCAGCGAAAAGTGCTAGTCACAAGGTTGCGAATTATTCCAGCCTTGTTTTAGCACGATCACTGTTTACTTACACTTAGCGCAAAGCCAGAACACACATAAACAAGCGCGCAAAATGCCCAAAGGAAGCGCCTTTAAATGACCGTTTATATTTAGACATTTATAATTGATTACATTTATAATTGATTTAGAAAAATAAGAAAAAAAGGACATCCAATTGTAGGTTGTCACTTTATTTGAAGTACCTGGAGGACTTTTTTTTGGTAAATCATGTATTTTGGAAATAAAAGAAATAAAAATAAAAAAAAGCAATGATCTGGTATAGAAAAAAAATAAGTTTGTAAATGATCGTGATACGAACCGCGTCCGTCTGTTTTGGGGCCGCCCGATTACCGACCGAGCTATTATAACATTTTTTTTGCGACGAAATTTACCGTCATATTCGAATGATATTTTTCATTCCCTGAAAACAGGGATAAAAGGGCATTTTCTAAAAATGAAACCTAACTAGATGGATTTTTCGCCCCCGTATCTACGCACATACTAAATTTCATGAAAATCGCTGGAGCCGTTTCCGAGATTATATATATATATATATATATATATATATATATATATATATATATATATACTGCTCGTTTAAAGGATAAGATAAATAGTTAGGTTCACTTTTTTGTTAAGTATTATGGAATACAGTGATAAATTTGGGATTTTATTTTTTATCAGCAACAAATTATTTCTACACTCTCTGGTTGTTCTTTTCGGATCGAAGTATAAATTTTGTTTATGTTGTTGCCTTGTCAATATACCGAAAATGGTGATGTATAACAATTTTATTTTTAGGTAACACCTTGTTAAATATTATAATTTGAGTTTTACTATGTATGAGCATGATATAAGGCTAACATTTGTATTACACTTACGAAAACTGCACTAACTTTACAACACACTCCCTTCTATAGAAATACTAAGCAAAATTCTTACGACTTATATGAGCTTTACTAAAGAAAAAAATGCATAGATAAGTAAATAATTCTATAAATCTAAATAAAAAAAAATAGCCTAAAATAAAGTTTAATATTAAGTGTAAAGAACCATTACTTCTAATTTAAAGTTACACTAACATTGGATCAGCACAGGAACAATGTCAAATGAAATAAATATTTTTAATTGTGTTTAGTATCGAGATGACACTATACTTTAAATTAATTTTTGTTGACTTAGACCTTTACATTTATTTGTAATACAGTTAGAGAACTTTAGGAAATAGCTTAACACTCTGCAGTATACAAACATTCATTGAGATATCAAGTACATAAGAAACCTTATCTAAATAAGTTATATGAAAGATATGAGATAGGTACATCTTAAGTAACAATTCATTAGTTGAATAGTTGAATGCAAGCGCAGTGGTACTGCCTTGACCCAGAGACCTTGTTAATTCGGGGTTTCATTTATTCAATAGACTCCGATGAAAAATATCATGAATAAATTATAAGAAAAACTGCTCCCACGTGTATATGTTGTCATTATCATATGTCCAAGTCAATGTGACGTAATATCATTTCCAAATACCTGTGTGGTAAGCTGCTCCGTCCAAGTCATTTTAAAAAGGGTCGAATAAATTTATAACGTGATTACATAAATGTCATGCTATTCCTTTCTTTCGCAATTTGTACAAAAATCTACGCGTAAGAAATTCCACGGAAAAATCGAGTCAAATGATAATAACAGTTCGCTTAAAATATTCATACAACGGACTATTTTTACCAACATCTGTGTTGATATAATGTAACAAGCTCGGGTATATCTATCCACCGACCACAATGCCCTCGTCAATCCACACGATCAATCCGGATTTTGCAATTGCATGCGGCAACAAAGTCTGGACGCCTATCATATGTCCGTTGGGTTTATTGGGTCCTTGAGACACGTTCACCGATTTCTTTAAAGTCACTTACATATGAAAACCCTAACTTGTTCTTTAGTCACATTATATGAGAGCGATATAGCCAAAGACAATTGCAGTTTAGCAATGGTCCTGAATAACCGGTTAGCCACGATTTTGCTCAGGTTAAACACTCACGCGTCGTGTATTTGCAACGAGTACGTTGTCAAAGTGTAGTAAGTCGACGAAACGAAGTGGTTAATTTAAAAAAAAATATATAAATGGCATTCACTACATTGTTGAAGATTAAGCACACAAGACAATTGGTCTAATTCTCCAATCCAGAAAGCAGAAGTAGGTAGCTGATATTTAGTAGACGATCGTTTTGTAATAAGCTAAATTATTAATAAGTACCTGGAGGACATTTTCTAAAAATGAAACCTAGCTATAGTGCAGTCTCAACAACTTGTAATTGTTAATAAGGCACTGCTGCAATCTGAAAACGTCAAAAGGCGAAAGCGCTATAAATATCTTAACACTAAGATATAACTTGCTATAAAGATATACACTTCTTACTCTGATGTTATGTTGAACATTCGTTGAAACATTAAAATGGCTGCGACGATGCCATTCAGTTTAGAATCTCGACGAGTGAGCTAACAACTGACACGTTATCTTGCTCACAGTGAGATACTATGAATAAATAAAATGCAGACTTAGTCCGTACGTCTAGAGGGTAAACCTGACTAACAACTGCTGTTTCATTTCGTATTCAAATAGATGTTCATTCATTTTTATTACAAATGCATTCACCTTTCAGAAAAAAATATAAGGTTATTTTCGTAAATATGAAGTAAAAGTATTTCATTTGTGCCAATATAGTGCTGTAGTTCAGGGTCTGATTGAGGCAATATTTTCATTATATGTTTTTCCTATGAAACCATGTTAACTAGGTAGAAATAGGCGGTTTGTTTGGTTGATTGCCCTAGCGGACATGCAATGTCAAGGTCACGGGTTCGAATCCCAGTGACGCACACCAATGAGTTACGGTGTACGGAGACAAGGCAAACATCACGCCACTGGTGTATTAAACTTTACTGTCACACTCTATCTTTCTTTTTCTGTGACGGGTTCGGACGATTTTATTGTGCTTTTTTTTCGAGTAGTATACCGTACCTATCGATGGCATCAATGACACACTTGACGATTATATTAAGGAACAACACAACATAGAGACAACATCTTAATACTGCTATACACAAAAGTATGGCACTAAACATAACATAAGTAAGGTAAGTAACACTGCATTAAATGAAAAGCCACAAAAACTATAGCGAACAAGTCAAGGCCTTGAAATCATGAAAACTGTGCCAAGTCGTGTCATGATTTCATTACGCTGGTATCGCCATGCATTTCGCCACAACAGGTCCGACCCATGCTCAATCGTCTATCTGCTGTGTGAAAATACGGCCATTCCAAACTTACAAGCATGAAAAATGCCTCTATCGATCATTCAGGGTAATAACTAAGTATGCAAATGTTGTAATGTGTGTTTGATGAATCCTTATCTTGTATTTTAAAGATACCTATAATAAGAAAATAAAATAAATGTTTTGTAAAACTTCTTCTTCCTTACATCTTTGTTTCACAACATAACAGTTAAAAAAAAAATGTTCTCGCCAAAAAGAGTAACAAATATACTTATATATTTCATAATAACTTTTTACTTTGATTTCTTAATTTGTTTTTCTATTAAAATCTTATTTTTATCAATGTTAACAAAAAGTATAGGATTTTTAACAGATTTTATTATTTAGTCAATTTGATTCCTGCATAAAAATATACTAGTCTACTTAAAAAATAACTTTATACTTTATAAAAATCCTTTATCAACATCAGCTCCTCTACTGGCTATGCTAGACAAAAATCAAAACCAGGTCATAGATCATAATTAGTTCAATTATTATATATATTAATCTTTTCTCGCACTAACTTATTCAATTTACTACATAAGTTATATATGATGCCTAATACTTACAGATCAAGAAGATTCTCTTACCCGAAATAAGAAAAACGGACACGTAGCAACAAAACGGTGCCGATTGAATACGAGAAATACGAAAAGGCAACTAGCGGACCCAACAAGATGATTTGGTGTCAATGTTCACTTACGATCGCCTACAGCATTCTAACATTTATTGTAACAGGTACGAATTACTTACTTCCACATAATTTTTTTATGCTAATTTCGTAAGAATTCGACGAAACTCAGCGGCATCTTGATAGTCCAAAACCTGCTTCTTTCGAGATATTTTATTTGCTTAGTGAGCCGAGTTTTGATGTTAATTTTTGCCAGCGGTTTTTTCGGGATCGACATCTAATGGTCTTCAAATAATCCTAAAAATGACGAGTCTGCCCATCCGTTAAAAGAGGCAGCAGAAGGATCGCAGTAAAATAAAGTGGACCCCGCTGGCCCTACGCCGGTCTTCTGTGAACATGACGAGTTTACCCCATAATAACATACGTTAAGGAATTTTATGAATTATCTAGAAGTTGCTTGCTTGAACACTGAGACATAATGCATGAAGCTTTAAGAACCTTCATATGTTATCTAGTTTCGTACCCTCAATATTTCCATCGTCTTCACACAATACTTACATTAATCAATCTGAGGTCGCACTTGATTTATGGTAATTGTCTTCGCTTCGCTTAAGAGCATAACATACTATGACTTTTTTACATTATGTATGTGCTTAGAGTAGTATCGTCCATACTTGGACACTATGCATGATATTTAAAGACAGCATAATACAAATATTTTCTATAGCAACTAATGAAATAGTGACGGTCATTTCTTCTGTGCTTAAGATGAAACTTTAAAATTTTGAGATAAAACTGTCGCAAAATGTTACACCGCTGTTAGTATTCGAACCTGCACCTTCCAGGTAAAGCGTTCAGATGCTCTATCCACTAAGACAGTGATTCTCAACCTTTTTTTTGTTGCGGCACATATTAAACGATTTCAAAATTTGGCGGCACACAAAGAAAATTATTTACTTACTACAACACACTGCATAAATAGTTTATGATAAAAATTTTAAATATACGAAATAAACTAATATATATTACAATAATAACTAAACGTTTATTAAGGGATTAATTACAAGCTAATAATAAAAATATTTTTAATGCGAAATTTGAGCTTGATGTTTTTTGATAATTTCATTTATATTTGGTCGTAAAAATGACAATGCTACTCTCATATCGTCTTCTACATTTAACAATCTTGATCTTTTTTAGTTTTAATGTTAGCTAATGCCAAACAATAGTTTTCTTTTTAAATGATATAATTTAATAATATTAACATTATTATATATTTGCAAAATTTGGCGGCACACTTTTGAAATTTGGCGGCACACAAAAGTGCCGCGGCACAGTGGTTGAGAATCACTGCACTAAGTAAGCGATCGAAATATTCACTGCGCGAAATTCTCGACGTCCGATCTATATTGTTTTAATTGAATTTGTAGGAATGGTTGCAATCAAATTCCTACACACTCGTGAGCGCCGTCAATATTGCACCGAATGATAACAGTGGTGCAGGGCACGTAATCGATCGGCAAAACACACATAATCACGTTGCGCAGTTATATCACGGACTATACACGCGAAACGGAACACTACCTGGATTAAAACACTCTTTCTTTGTACGATGGTCAATTGATTTCCTTACGGCATACTCGGTCACGAATATTATATGAGAGTGTTAATGAATGGTATTTCAAATCTATTTAAATAAAATGATAAAGGTCTGCCGTTGTATGTGCACCATGGAAAACCTACTGGATAGATTTTAATTAATTCTTCTAAGTTTCATTTCTTAGATACATCACCACATTGACTCATATCTGAATAAAATAAAATTATATATAATTCATTAAAATAAAAATTTTAATGAATTATAATTACATTACAATCACAAAACACTAGTTTAAATTGCAAAAGATCTATATTATTGCTGACAATTTAAACCAATAATCAATCATTTTGAGTAATTAACTCTATTTATAAATTTGTATTTATTTAACTATATTTATAAAATTTTTTGCACAACAAAAATATTATTGAAAAACACATGACATTGGCATGTCGGTGATGCGAACATAAGAATATTTCCCAAAAATATTGTGATATCATGTCATATCATCAAATTAATTGAAAATTATTAAAGTTATACGAAACAAAGATTTTTATAAGCAGTACGGCAATGATGTGTCTTTTCATGCCGTGTTTTCTTCTACCTTGCTTCCGATAATTTTGATGATATTCTTATATTATTTTCTCTCTGCACATAAGATACATTGTTAATGTATTAAACAATGTAGATGAAGTCGCGGGTATTAGCTAATAATTAATTTTTTTGTGTGTTCAGGTGGGTTCGAGAATGGTCTAGATTCACAAAGTTATTCAAAAAAAGTTTGAAATTTTCGAATTTAAGACTTGTGTACAGGACAACGTCTGTCCGGTCCGCTAGTTAAATATATTCTTTGAAACTCACTATATTTAAGGTTTAATTTGTATATATTTATAGAATAACACAAGACCATTCAAGCTTTTGCCAAAATTGTTGGGAATAGAGACATGAAATTTTACCCCAGACACCCAGAAAAAAAAGTCATGTAATTTCAAAAAGCACCTTAGTCTAGTTAAATGTGCGCAGCACTTAAATATGAAAACGTAAACTACACAATATAATATGTATTGCACTATTATATTTATATCCAGGTTATTATAACAGAGTACCAAGTGCATCAGATCAAAACAAAAGTTCGGGCAATTAACCTCTACAATGACTTAATACGTTACGCTTCTAGAAAGTACGAAAAGACAACACAAGTAACACAGTCATGAATGTAAAAGTATACATGAAGTTAATATTCTATGCACGCATTCGTTTATAATTCACTGATTATGGTGATGATTCATTTTCTCAGATATTCAAATACAGCAAAGCGTGACTCAACTATGACTAAAAACGTGTTTACTTTATAAAAGTATGATTATAAATTATATATTAATACGAACGCCTTGTTGTTTTTGCCAGTGATAAAATTACACATTAAACAATCATGAAGATAGAAATACAGAACGAAAAACGTGGCTTCTTAAATTTGCAATAAATAATAGTACAAGTATGGATCAAATCGTCTGTCTAACCGCACTACTAAATAAATCGTATAAAACAAAAGAGAACAAAGCAACTGGTGCAATGATCGCAACTAGCCTAAATCCAGGCGTTGGATCGCCATAATGGTAGCACAATGCTGGGTACCTTCTGCCGCCCTCAATGCACATTGAACCTGGTTTACCTTCTACGTAAATCGGTTCTTCCGTATCGCACCTAGCCTGGCTTTCTTCGTAAAATGTATACTGCGTTACCACACGAGCCAGCATACCCTTAGTTCCATTATCACTTTTACCTAAGAAACTCCTTGCCCAACCTTCTGGGTATATTTTACTTAATGATTGTACGCCCCAATGAGCTAAAGCTCTTGTATGGTCATCGTTAGAGAGTGTTTGATTTTTGAACTGTAACTTGTTATTTACGTATGTATCATTTGATTCTTGAACTTCGTCTAGATTTATCCCTATAGAGGATAAAAACGTTAAATTTGTTATATCAACTTTTTCATCTACGCCTTTGGTTATTTCTTTATATGGCAATAGTCCACAATAAAACTTTCTTTTAAGAAAAAATGGTGCACCCGGAGAAAAATCGCAAACAACACGTATATCACCGTTTCTACTAACACCATAAGCACATCCAATCTTGTATGTGCTAGCCCAAATAAGCTGTACAGTGTTATACGTGGAGGCTTCGATATGTCCACACTGGATATCAGTTTCGCTTATACTCTCCCCAGCGCTCCAGTACCATTTATGCAGACAGCCAACAATTGGTGGTACGAAGCATTCAGGTGGTGGCGTGCTATAATTTGAAATAATTGTTACTTTTATGAAGAACTAAACTAAAAATACCGTTTCAAAAGCATTTACCAATTAAAATTTTCTGTAATCGCATTCGTGCAGCATCGCTGTAAGTATTTTTTGCATTCAAGTTGCGATACAAAGTTACCGTCAAGAGCAGAACATGGCGCTGGACCTGGAAGGCACTGACTTAGCCATGCGTGTGCCATTTTCTCTAAATCAAAGTCATATGTAATTTGCATCATATTAGCCGCTGGCGGTAAATGCGAATATCTCAATGAATCTCCAGTAGCGACCCGATTTCGCATAGAGTTAATGGTATTAACTAAGGCCACTTGTTCAGACATGGTCGGAGTTTTAACTTGGTAGTCTTTTTCGCAAAAGGAAGAAATTGTTTTATCAGGGAAAAGGCAAAGTGTATGATCTCCATAACAAGGTTCAATTTCACACCACTTGTTGAACATTTGTGTTTCTATATTATGCGTTACTTTAGAAAATGTCCTTTTTTTTACTGTTTGACGGACTACATTCTTTAAGTTTCCACGATGAATAGTGAATACATCGGGCGTTTTCCGTCTGTTTTCGAATTCAGCAAACAGAAGTGGTAATTCCCAGCAAGGTAACTCTTCTGGAACGTACCACACATCATCCTCTTCACTTAAAAAAATTCCTCCTTGCGGGTTGACATATGCTGCAGCTGGTTCTAAGGTATAATAATCGAATAAACTTAATTTCTTTTTATTAGACTTTTGCTTTTTAACCTTTTTTTTACTAATAAGGTAGTTTCTTCTTTTTTGTTCTAAGTTTGCTGTTTTATATCCCATATCATTTACATGACCATCGTCATAATTATATTCATATTCTTTAAATATATCTAACGACGTCGTTATGTTCAAGTAATCGGTCGCATTAGATAGACTGCTCTTAAACAATTTTCGGTAATCTGATTTTTGTGAATTGTAAAAATCTTTTTTTTCTTTTGCCACCTCTACGTTTTTCACACTATCCTGAATTTCCTTGATGGTCACAGTAAGATCACTGACTTCCAAACCACCTTCCTTGTCATTTTCATCAACTGATTTGCTATTCAAACTAACAGAGTCATTGACTTTGAGAAAACTAAAATTATTATATTGTTTTCTTGTGTCATACTCGTAATAATAATCAACACCGATGCCCGAGGTCGATGGCATGAACATGCAAAAGAAAGTGAAGAAAAACTTTAGTACGTTTAGCATTGTTTCTCCCACTTCTAAATAAGACATGACCAACTTGTTTCGTTTTTTTCATTTTACTTTGCTCCAACACTAGATTTAACCAAAATTATTAAAATTGTATATCAAAATTGTAAGCTTTTAAGTATTTTTTTTATTGTATTTTAATTTAATTCAGGAATATCATTCCAATAATATGGAAAAAAATTGGACGTCACGTGACGCCACGACCCCGGTGTATCATACACCTACTCTAATAACATTACCAACGATGTCATTTTAAATATTGTCTGATATAACTTTGATGTCATCACTGCATTTTCTTTCACTAGGGTAGCGAATAATCATAGCAATGATAAAACAATACTTCAGTGTTCATAATATATATATATATATATATATATATATTTATATGGTTTATGCCAAGCGGGACAAGGTTCCAAGAATGAGCATTCGCTGTCTCATATGTAGCAGACTTGCGTGGGAGCTAAGAATATGCGTCATGAATCACGGCAACCTGAAACACAATACAATGACCTCAGCAGCTAACAAAAATCGGAATTTTATTGCAATACACGATTTTATAAATAACAGTACTTCCATTCAGCATAGGTGCAGGGAAGAAAGCCTCTCTTGGTTGTTCTGTAATCTGGTTCTACGGGTTGCTTTAGAGAGTGTGCATTAAATTACACAAATAAATTCCTGCCTTCCTTCAAAGCCAGATTAAAAATGGGCTTCTGCAGAGCTAGAACGTTTGCCATCTAAGGCTGAATCGCCGCTTACCATCAGGTGGGATGTAAGGAGTAAATATAACGACTATCTAGTGCTCGAACATGTCTATAAAATATATAGAAAATTATTTGCTTCCTTGCTAATAACTTTCTAAAATTTTAGTTTTGTTAACGAAATATAAAAAAACAATGGGGAAACTTTAACTTGGCTGACCCTAAAAATTACATTACTTAACTTTAGTAATCGATTTAGCCATCCAAGCGCACACCGACGAGCGGCGCAATATTCGCTATTTCGCAATACCCATGGTCTTGTGATTTGAATAATTGAGAATTTCCGAAAAATAAAAGGCTTAAACATGTTTTTCGTTTCATTTACAAACGTAAATAGTTCTTTACGTGACGCTTTCTAAAAAAATCACACATACAAGCAGAAACTTCGTTCAAAATTTCTTTCCATTAGACGGATACAGCTCTTTTGTAGTATTAATCTTTATAGTCAACTCAAAAGTCCAGAGCTAAGAAATATATGACCAAGGTATGTTCGTTTGTAAAAGACGTGAGAACTACGGATTCGCTAACGTAACATTGCCCATGGTTATAATTAACGCTTTATTTTTATTTTAACATTTAGTCTTTCCGCGTTTCAGGTGTCTCTTCTCTACAATGCTACAAATGTCTGATCAATCCGCCGCTCGGAGAGAACTACAACACCGCGAAGAATCTTTGCGTTCACTTTGACTATTCCGATTCGTACATAGTCGAGTGCCCCTACTCCACGATGTGCATGAAACAGGAGTTTCATCTGGATATACAAAATGGAGGTAGGATAAAGAGTTTAGTAGTAGAATTAGCACACTATTCCCAGAAATTATATGAATTTAATATTTTTGAAGTGTATAAGAGCGCGCTTTATTATTTTAGTAGGGTAATTGAACCGCTACAATTTCGATACTTTTACTTACACAGGATACTAAAAGAGTGTTCCTAATAATCAGAATAATCCCCATCATCAGAATTATACATTGTAATCATATTATATTGTATGTTCTGCATACTTATTGTTTTATCCCTATGCCTACAATGTTGACATATTTATTTCATGGGGTTGGCAACTGAGCAAAGGTGTTGAGACCTTTGGTTGGAGAAAGTGTTAATGGTAAGTAAGGACCGTGGCCCATAAGCACTCATGATACTAGAGGTCACAGGAAAATACGGCAAATGTCCATTGGCGGAAGAACACTTTCCACCAGGAGGCCTGATCGTTTGCCTCTTTTTCATAAATAAAATACGCAAGAGTTCAAGTACGAACACTTCACGGGGGATTCCCAAGAAACTACGATACGTGGTGCGCTAAACATGAAGCAGGACCTGATATGCAAGCCATTTACTGTTACACATTATAGGGTTCCACTCACTATTTACAAATAAAATAATATTAGATTACTTTTAATAACATACTCATTCTATTGAAAGAAAATAATCAAAAAATCTTTAATTTTATTCTGTTTTAATTTAATGAGCTGAAAAACAATTCGATACAGCACTTTAACGTTTAATTTTTGAATTTCAGTGAGAATCGACGGTGTACTGCGGGACTGTGCACCACAGAAACACGAGTACCAGGACTTCAAGAACGGGAGGTGGTCTCTCAAAACAGAAATTAAAGAGCCATACGAAGAGGGATGCTTCAGCAACGACGATAAAGGAGAGAGAGCAACAACTAGCAGGTAAGAAAAATATATTTAGTTGAAGAAACGATTTTTATGTGAATGAAACAGATGTTGTACCTTTCCAAAAAGTTATCTCTTTCGAAAATGTTCGGTCCGAATTAAACGACGATAGATAGATATAATGTACTAAAGAGCATAAATTACCTTTTAATTATTGTTATCATAGTTTCTTTATAACATTTCTTATTTATTTTCGATATTAACAGTAACTAATAATAACACTCAATATTAAAGCACCGTCGTTTGGACCAGGAATTTTTTCAAGGCTTACAGTTCAATTAAACAACACTAATACAAAGGTTAAGGTTGACCGCAACAGTGTAAAAACAACTGGCTCATAAACACTTTGTGCTTCGAAACATTTGTACCGAAAAGGGCAAAACATTTTAACGATACGATATCTTGCCGATTTTAGCTTTGAAGTTGTTTTAATTGGTAACGATTACACTATGTTTACTGCTCGGTAAAAATGAATCGTTTAAGATTATTCCTGAAAATATTATTTTCCGTATATTATTTCTAAGATGTAGTAATTTGGTTAAAGTGACTAAAGTTGACATACATCGCCGATAAATGTACAGTAACGTTACATTTTATTAACGTTTAAAGATACTTATTCAAAATTAAATGCATGAGGAAGTATATTTTAAAATTAAATCAATTTCTAATTGATAACGATAAGTTATAAAGGTTGCTACTGGTAACAATACTCCATTGTTATAAATTTGATTGCATTTCATGTTATTTCGCGAATCTGAGACGGCGATTTTTTTACGTGTGGCCACGCAGTACCATCTGCTATTTAACAAATTATAACTCACTCGTCTGTAAAAGCACAAGCATCAGCCTCACAAAGGCCCGTCGTTGACCGGTTCTGTCAACCTAGAGACTTGGACCCACCGCCGGGGGTCCCGCCGGATAACACTACACCCACAGCTAGTGTAACAACAAACACAATAGTTCGCCCTCGCCTCCGAGCACGGCGAGACCAACACAACGCGTACACAAGGTACACCCGCGTTCCAGGGCGGTTCTTACCGCCCCCAGCCACCGATTAGCTAAAACACAGTCGACGGCCATCGGGGTCTCGGTCCGCACCGCAACTTCGATGGCCCTTAGATGACATGTCGTAGTTAAACGCACGCATGAGCACATGCGCGGCCCTACCCACAGCAGAGGGCCCCGTGGGTTCTGGCTAGCCCACCGGTTCTGCGTCAGATGAAGCTTTAATAGTCTCGGGACTGAAAGCAAAAATATCGGTTAATACAAGATACCTAGAGACTGTTCGCCAACCATTATCTCACATATAAACAAATATATGCAAAGAAAAGACTACAGGCAGCGCAGAGTATTAAAATGATGGAGATACCACTACAATAAATGTTCTATTATAATTTTTTAGAAGTTGTCAACTACAAGATATTGCCATTGTGCTATACAGCTCGTAGAAACGTTAACCGAATGAAAGGCTGGCGAGTGGCCTCGTATTGGCCATCGCAGTGTAGAACGACCCCTCACTAGATAGAGTGATGAACAGTGCAAATGTGCGGGAAGTCGGTAGATACAGGTCTCAAATAGGCTGAAATTATGCTGAGATATCGGACTATGTTATATGGTTCTTGACATAAATGTTTTTTATTTAAATTTGTTTCATTTGCACTTCGCAGATATTGCTACTGCAGGAAGAATCTGTGCAACTCCACGCCCAGCACGAACCACGAGGGCTACACAGACATAATGGGTGTCATAATGGTGTTCAATCTAATGAAATATATTAATAGTCTTAGGTAGTACATTGAAAAAGTGAGGACACTGATAATAGAGCACTGTTGGTTAAAAGGTGAATAATATGTGATATTATATTCATAAGTCTGTAAAGTGTATATTAAAATAGCATTAGTTGTAAGATATTGTTTTTCTTATTCCTCATCATTTGGTCTAAAATACAAAATGTACAGGGTGTCGTTACAACCGCGACAATAAATGAACACACATATAGAGGATAACTTTAAAATTGTATTAAGCATTTACACTCTCTAAACATCAATATTTACGGAATCATTAAATTTTACAAAACAAACATTTTTAGAACACCCTTACGTATAAAACTGTAACGTAAAGTTCATTTGTAAAGGTCACTAAGCATATGAATGGGTTGAATGAATTTAAAAGAGATAAAACATACTGTTAGAAGGAGAGACTTAATGACGTAATGCGACGTTGTGGCAACGAATGAAAATGTCTCTGAATGTATGAATCAGTCAGCTATTGTATCAGTAGTTGTATAGGCTGTTACAAATTTTGTTTCTTTTTTATTAAATTAGTTTGTTTGAAAAAATTTTTTTTTATTTATGGACTTGTTTAACGTTATATATTTTTTTTTATTGGCAAGTAGCGTTAAACGTGTGTTCATTTATTGTCGCGGTTGTAACGACACGCTGTATACTCCTGGCAACTTACCAATGTTACCCAAGACTTCTGATCATTAGTCAAATATCAAATCATGAAATATCTTTAATTAAATACACGCTTGCGCGTTCTTACGAAACGTCGAATTTTACATTTTTCAAAAGGTTGTTAACGCATCTTCAACCCTCGGGTGTAACAGATGTCCATGGGCGGCGATATTCACTTAATATCAGGTGAACCGCCTGCTCGCTTGGCAACTTTTCACATAAAAAAAAAACATAAAACTTAATATATAAGTTCGTAAGGTACCGGTGGTACCACAACAACGGTAGTGTTCGGAAAGCATTTTCTGTTGAGTAGAGAACGGCAAGAAACTCAACAGTTACTCTTCTTCAATAATATCAGTTTACAATATAACATGTACAGTTATAATATTCTTATTTTAGCCTACGTGAGTATCAACAGTATTTATTAGCTCCACACATTGGCATCGTCGAAATATTCCGCAATGGTATAATACGCTTCAACCATAAGTTTACTTTTAATTTTACGTTTAAATCGATCAAGTAGCAGACTTGATATTAGGGATGCCGCAAGTCGAAAAAAATAACGATATATCGATATTTATAAAGATATCAATATCGGCCATGATATATCGAAAAAAAATGTATCGATATATCGGTCAAATTTTCAAATAATTTATTTAGTTCAGTCTGATTCATTAATAAGTAGGCCAGTAATTTTATACCAAATTCACATTATAATAATAATAATAATAACCAATCGACATCTGTCGAGCTTGTCGCCATCCCGGGGAGTCGCTTCGGCATGTTATCTCCGGTTGTTCCATGCTTTCTAACTCTGAGTATCTGCATAGACACAACCTAGTAGCCAGAATCCTACACCAGGAGCTCGCTCTGAAATACGGCCTCGTGGAACGGAAACTGCCGTATTATAAGTACTCTCCGGAGGCCGTGCTCAAAAATGACCGCGCCAGGCTCTATTGGGACCGGTCCATCATTACGGACAGGACGATTGTCGCGAACAAACCTGATATCGTGTTGATAGACCGGGCACAGTCGCGGGTATTTTTGGTCGACATTACCATTCCATATGACGAGAACCTCGTGAAAGCCGAAACAGATAAGAAGACGAAGTATCTGGACCTGGCTCACGAGGTGACCGACATGTGGGGTGGTGTGCCGACCGAAATTATCCCGATAGTCGTTTCTGCCAATGGGTTAATCCCAGTCAGCCTCTCTAAACATCTGAGGCGACTGGGACTCCGGGACGGATCGCTCCAAGCGCAAATGCAGAAGGCGGTGCTCCTCGATACCGCCCGCATCGTCCGCCGGTTTCTCTCCCTTTCGCCCTAACCCTCGGCCGTTTGGTCTTCCCTGCCGAGGGCTTCCGTCTGGTCTTGGGTCCTATTTATATATGTATTATATAAAATATTTATGTATGTTTATTTTTATCCATAATATTTATTTTATATAATATGCAATATATATCTATATTTTTATTTTTATTTATAAACCCAACCAGACGAGAAAACAAATGAATATCCCCCCAATAATAATAATAATAATAAATGTGATTTATTGAACACTTAGTTACACACTTAATGGCGCCTTACACCCGAACTAGGATATCCTGTATTTCAGGAGCCAATCCCATCCCCTAATTAACATACACTTTTGTACCAATAAACATAAAATAAAAAGCTAATTATGACAAAAGGGAAAAAAATGAAAATAATGCGCGCGCGCGCGCGCGTGTGCGTGCGTGTGCGAGTGTGTGTGAAAATAAATAATATATTCATTCCTCAATTATTAATAAGGTTTTCACATTCATCATAGTTTAGATCTAACCATTTCTTGGTGGCGTGTTTCATTTGGAAGAAATTTAATTTATGTAATATATATAGCTTATTTAGTAAGATAAATCATCTTCTTTAGCCCTGAATGAAATGAAAAAATAAATAATAAAAAAACCAGTAACTTTGTAAAAAAAACATAAACAATTGTTTAAAACGAAGTTAATAATTGGTCAAAAAGAAAGCCGCAGAGATTTGTCCTAAAAGACAGGCCTATTCATATATCAGCAAATTTATTAATAGTTGTTTGATTTACATGAAAATGCTGAACGACAATTAAAATAATTGACCGTCACTGGAAACTTTTAATTGAGAAAGCATATCCGTTTCCGTCGATTTGTGTCAGTTTTAGTACCTGTATTGACCTTTATATCCTGTCCAGTGGCGCCACCTGGCAGTTTGCGTTTGACTTGGTTTTCCTAAAAATGCTAAGCGCAATTTTAATTCATTAACGTTTCGTCTTCCGTCGAAGTGACTTGTGCTTACGTGAAATCTTGCTTGAGTGAAATAGTGCACCTAATACAAAATTGAAAGCAGAGTTTAAAACAAATAATTGTTAACAAAATCTTACGGCGAGTAACAGCTTACTTATGAATCGTCTGGTTCTTTTGGAATTTGAGTGCAGATAGACGTAAGTACAGTTGATTTTGGAAATAAAGTGGTGTGTACCTTTTCTTATGACCTTATTCTACCCTACAATTCAAGAGGTACTTGTTTCATGAAATATAGTTCTTATTTTAACGGTTATTGCCGTTCGAATTAAAATGTGTAAATAAATTAAAATAGTGCCTATTACAATAGTAGATTATTTTATGTTTAGAACAGTTAGTTATTTACAATAATGGATAATCACGAGTTTAATACGGTTGGTTCACATGCTGTGGCGTTAATCGCAAGCGAAATCGAAACAGTTCCATCAGCAGCAGTTCTTCATCGAGCAGTAGTAGTACATCGAGCACTTCTAATGATAAAGAGAGGACACACTCTCAACGTAGTCGTCGCTTGCGCAAAAAGAAAAATAAGCGGCGACGTAAAAAACAGATGATGGTCAAACTGTTTGAAGAAGTGGGTGAGTTGCGCAAACACATTTTATCTAATAATTTTGATAATGCTCGCCATGACAATGCATCATGCCTTTCTGATATTAGTGGAGAACTTTATGATCATAGCGGTGCCCATGAAATAAACTATTGTGAAGACGTTGACTTCACTTTTGATATTGGAACTAAGTTGAAAGAGCCATTGATTTCAAAAACTCCCAATGGCTATTTAAAGTTGCTTATTGATGTACAACGCTTAGGCAGTGCATCCTGGTCAGAAGTAAGGTATGCAGATACGCAGAAGTCATATAATTTCACGCCAGGTTTCATAGACCTCGAAACAAACGATGAGGTGAAAGCATATGATAACTTACGTCACTTAGCACATAGTGAAAAAGCGTATGCAACCTTGACCTACGGCATTTTAAAGCAAAAGGAGGCTCTTCAGGATAGCGTACGCAACCTACTGTCTTGGGCGAGAAATACTACCAACATTAACAGCGAAAATTTAAACAGTACGGTTGAAGATCTATTTTTAAAAGGTGATCTCCAAAAGATTTCTTCTGATCTGTTGCAAATAGTATGTGGTCATCAAGCTGAAAGTATCGAAATGCGTCGCGAGACTATTACCAGCCGGGTTCGGGACCCATTACTTAAAGCTACATTAAATAGAAGTCCACCGTCGTCAAGTCATATTTTTAATCCAGAGCCGCTTACCGCAGCATTAGAAAAGGTCGGTGGCGTCGGAAAAGCCTTTTGGCCACCAAAAGCAGACGCGAGACCTTACTCTAACCGCCCCTCGCGGGGGCAATGTATTCGTAATCCAACAATTCCATCGCGTGGAACCCGATATACTTTTCATGAACCAGCCATATGCACACACCCATATGGCTGTAGAAACCCACCCTCGCGGGGTGGTCACCAATATACCAACTGGGAAGGTCAAACTCAATCGTCAAACAAACGATATGACAGCCACTCTTATGGGAGAGGATCTCATCAAAACCGTGGCTCGCGGCCCGATCGTTCAAATAATCGAGGTCGTCCCAATGCACAAAAGATTACAAGAGGCACCCAAAACAGGCACAAACAATGACTCGAGAAGTTTCCAAGCAGATCGGCTAGCGAAGTACAGCACCCGATGGCAAGAAATGGGAGCACCAGAAATAATACTCAGGTTGATTCATGGGTACCGAATCCCTTTCCTTCAAAAACCCCCTCTGGTACTTCCAAAATTAATGAACGGCTCGTTTCATACTTCTGCGTCAGGTACCTTCATTTTGTGTATAATGCCCGTCAAATGACGGGCATTATACACAAAATGAAGGTACAGGGCATTTTAAAAGTAGCTCATCCATCCCCAAGTTTTATTTCCCCTCTATTTCTAGTACCCAAGTCCGACGGATCAGTCCGTCCCATATTCAACCTCAAAGCTCTAAACAATTATGTGATGGCCGATTCAT